TATTTAAAATTCAAGTCTTTAAGTAAGAGTGATTTGGCAATATGAAGTTACTATTAAATCTATGGAAAATTACTAATCAGGGCAGGGCACTATTTAAGGGAATGATGATATAATTTAATGCATGGATCTTTGGAATAAAATTACCTAAGATCTTGATGAGACTTATGCTAAGTATGAACAGTCTAAGTAACAGAAGCCATTGATTAAAATTGAACAGCCAAAGCCAGTCTAGCCTACAGTGAGCTCAACTGTTTTTAAGTCAAAAATTATACAGTAACCTTAATAATTAGATAATTCAAAGCAATTTCAAGATAGCTCTCTATCTCTGCTTCAAGAGCAGCTTTAAAAAATTAAATAGTAAACATTTACGACTAAACCAGTAAATTTAACCTAGAAAACTGTTGGAAAGCAACCCATTAAAAAATAAACTTAAGCTAAAAAGTTGAAGATAGAATCAGACTAGTTGTAGGCAGATGACAATATAATAAAGTACGAGTCATCTGATCTTAGCAATGAAACGGCAAGTATAAATAACAGCTTCAACCAAATTAACTACTTAAAACCTAAACCATTGAAGCAATGTAGTGCTACTCCTATAAAACCAATCAAATAGACTTAGTTAAAGCCTAAGACTGAGTAACTATTTTAAGCAGGCTAGGATCTTCAACGTGAAACTATTCAATTACCGGACAACCCTAAATCAAGCGCAGTAATTGATTTCGCAGCAAAGATCATTAGAGACTCTTAAAATTTAGTGGCTGTCCTGGATAGGATAGTTCCTAAGGTCAAAACATTTGTCAGCGATACTGAAAAAGCAGCTCTTAACATAGTCAGAGGACTTGAGGGTAAGATCTAAAAATAGATGAAATTGGAAGAATCTGGCTAATATTTTGATGAGGCTAAAATAATGTAGGATTTGCAAAATTATTAAACTCAACAAATGAAAAATTTGCAACTGCTAATGAGCTAGATACAGCAATACAATTTAAATTTAGAGTAGTTGAGTTTGATAAAAGCCTAAAAAGTACAGCTAAACATCGATTTATGTCTAGACATTACGCAGATCCCAACTTAGCTTTAAAACTATGAGAAGATATATGCTAAGGTTGATGGTGATGTATTCGCTTTGAAATAGAAAGGCTAGGATTAAGTGGACTTCTTCAAATTCGACTATAAGAATAATCAGGAATCTTGCCAAGCAGAGCATGTACTTAGCGTTTTGTGCTAAAAATTTATTTGCCAGCATATGGATAGAGTTATCAGTGACAATCATGTCTACTCTTTGGCTACAAACTAGCACATACAGTAGATAAGCATCGATAAATATCAAAATACAGATTGCTTGGCTTTCAATGAATAGTATATCATACTGGGGCATGAGTCTTACACAAAGATGTCGCTTTGGCTTTGGGATGGATTGTAGTACACTCTGCAGAAATTTTGCAATGCCAATGGCAAATGCAAGACCTCTTACGTTACCTTGATGAAGAGGAATCCGTTCTCTACAACCAATCAAATTATGCTGCTTCAGCAGTCTAGCATGTTTATCCAGTTGACTGTAGACTTTGTGAACTTCACAGCTTCTTAGTTTGAAAAGCACAATCCCAGAACCACAGATGTGAAAGACTATAAAATCCTGAGTGAAAGCTAGATGATTATACTGGGAAGAAATTGTGTGACTGTCTATGACTATGTATAGATGCAGAGTCTGAATTCGTGCAACTAAAGATTCGATCTTGACTTCTTGATATTTACGCCTAAGTTCAATGTTAATCTAATGCCTGTGATTATTAACAATCAAGGTGGAGTTAACACCACTGTTGATGTCATGTAAATAGGATTCAAGGGTAAAATTGGTGGATTATAAAATGTAAAGCTAATTGGGGCAATAGAGAATGAAGTTAATGCAGATGAAGTTATAGTGCTTGGAGTAGATCTAGAGACTAATATCATTTGTCTATATAAAATTGAAAATAATTGACAATACTATTTAGAATAATCTTCAATGAATATTATTTATTTAATATCTTTATTAAATATTTATTTTAGAGGTTTTGGGGTTTTGGGGTTTTGGGG